ATTAAAAATGTCGGAAAGGCAATTTTGCTTATATATAACTACCTAAAACCTAACCTAACCCTAACCCTAAAGTTAATCGAGAAAATTGTTAATTTATGAGTTGCCCGCTTTAGACATCCCCAAATTAATATCGTTCAGTGAAAATCTTAATTAAATTAGGAAACAATAACATAAAAAAAATTTATATACATTCTAACGAAATCTTTTCGCTTAAATCTACATAAATTTTATTGAACAAAGTAATGGGTATTCAAGGTTTTGTAAGATGGATTAAGTATTTATTTTATTTTATTTTATTAATTCATCTTATTAAAAATGAAAAATAAACTAAATCCTACACATAAATTTTACTAGTAATCGGTATAAATTCATAGAAACTATGGGAGAAAACTTGTATGTAAATTTTGAACCAAATCATTTTTTATACAAAATTTTTAATCAATAATTCTTTCCATGTTAAAAAGTTTTGATATGCATCCTAAGTTTCGCCCAGATAATTTCTATATCGATATAAATGAAATTATTTATGAAAATTTGAACACAAATGTGAATGAAGATATTTTTAAAGACATATGCGGTTATTTGGATAAATTAATTTCAATTGTTAAACCAAATAAATTAATCTTTATTGCAGTAGATGGTATTCATTTATTCATGATATTATTAAAAAAAAAATGTTTAAGCTCTTATTGAAATCCTGTTTCTTTTTTCGTAAAACAGGAGTAGCGCCGAGAGCTAAAATGAATCAACAACGTAATAGGAGGTTTAAAAATGCTAATGAAGAATCGAACAATGGATTCGATAAAAATTCAATCACACCAGGTATTTAAATTATAATATATATTTATATTTATATCAATATATAATTTAGTAATTCTGATTTTATATTATTAGGAACGAAATTTATGGAGGATCTTTCTAAGTCTTTTAAAGAATTTATTAGTGATAAAATTAAAAATGATGACAAGTGGAAGAGCGTAAAAGTTATATACTCTGGTTATGATGTGCCAGGTGAAGGGGAGCATAAAATAATAAATGATATTCGTAATTCTAATTGCAAGAAACATTGTATATATGGAAGGGATTCAGATTTAATTTTATTAGGGCTTCTATTATGTGGATCAAATCCTAACCTTAACATTAGAATAATTAGTACTGAAGAATTTACGTTTGAGTAAGTTTGAGTTATAATTATTTTATACTAATTTATATACAGTAAATTGATATAATTTCTTATAAAATTTTTTAGAGAAAAATCGAAAGTTTTTGAACTGAAATTGTTATCAACTTTACGAAAAAATTTAGAACAAGAGTTTAAAGGATTTAATATTAAAGAATTTAATATTAAAAGCATAATAAAAGATTTTCTTTTATTGGTACTTTTTGTTGGTAATGATTTTATACCAAAACTATCCAATATCAACATTAACAATAAAGGGCTTGATTTGATTATTTTGATTTATAAAGAGGTGTTAAACAAAAACGGTAAGAATTTTATTTAAATGATTATTAGAATCTCTATTAATTATAAAGGTTTTTTATTTATAGGTTATATTAATAAAGATAAAGGCTTGAATATTAAAGGGCTTGAGATGATTTTCGAGAAATTGAGCGTTATTGAAAGAGGATGCAGTATTGATGATTATTTAAATTCGTTTGAAACGCAACAACAAGATGAACTTAATAATAGATTTCCTAAATTGCAAACGATTAAAGAGGACAAAGATCAGAAAATTTTAATTAAGAAATATATTAAAGGATTATATTGGGTAATTGCTTATTATAATGGTATACAAAAATCTTATAGATGGTTTTATCCTCGATGGTATTCACCAATGATATCAGGTAAGTTCTTGAAAAGAAATAAATAACATTGCATAATTAAATAACCTATTAAACATATTTCAGATTTGCAAGATCTGGAATCTGTTAAATTAGACGATTTCAAATATGAAGATTATTATAAACCTTTTGAACAATTGATGTTTGTTTTACCTCCCAAAAGCAAAAGTCTTTTACCCGATGCATATCAGGTATAAATGTATTTAAATAAATTATTATAAATATAAGGTTGTTTAAAATATTATCACTATTTTTAGGACTTAATGAATGATCCTAGAATTAAAGAATATTATCCTATAAATTCCGATAATAACCTTTCATTCATTAATGAAGAAAGATTATTATCTGTACTGGAATGTGAGTAACTAAATTTAATGTTTATAATTAATATCTATTCATGCTGTTTTGTTTTTTATAGTCGCAGAAAATAAATTGACTGAAGAAGAAAAATGGAGAAACAAATTTAGAGTTCCTCTCTCTTACAATACTGAAATATGACAAAGTGAGTCATACTAATTTTGAAACCTTTTCTGAAAAATAGACTAATAATTTTAATTTTAATATACTCTATAGTAATACTAGAAACAGGATGAAACAAAGTGAAATACGTATAGTTACAATAAGAGCCTATGATTTATTTTGATTTTATGTGATTATAAAACATTGATTGACAAATTCTATTTAATTAAGTTATCAAACTTTGGCTGTCAATTGATTTTATAGTAAGAACATTAAAAATTGGTCTACATTCAAATTAAATATTTCAATAAACTATTAAATTAACTAGAATAAAAAGTGAATACTTTAGTTTGTATCAAAAATCTTAAAATTGATTGTAAAGTATTTTTGCTAGTCCATAACCAATATAGGCCGAAATTTAAAAATTCTGATACATATTATTCTTAATAGTTTCGGGTTGTAAGATTTGATTCGAAAATTCAGTGCGGATCATGTTGAGAAATTTTTGGATCAGGTTCAGTTTGCCATAAAATCATTTGACATGCTATTTTGCTAAGGATGATACTATGACATACTATAAATTAATAAAATAATATAATAAAATAATTTTTCTTAATCTTATTTAACCAATTAGAATTGCATATCATTTTTAATTATAAAGGCATACTTTAAACATTTTGGCATGCTCGTGACGTCCATGACAGGTTCCCTAACTATACTACAAGAGTGTCGAAAGTTTATATACATTTCAATTATTAGAGGACGAGTATCAACGTCATGACAACATGAACACGTTGTCTGGACACTGAAACACATAATTTTGACGAGGGTTTTAGCCTTCTACAATGACTTATATCAAAGCTTTAAAGTTAATAATAAAAATATATAATAAAAATAAATAATAGAAATAAATATTATTAATAACAAGAAATAAAATTAATGATAAGTAATAAATTAATGATAAGAAATAAAATTAATGATAAGAAATAAAATTAATGATAAGAATAAAATCAATGATAAGAAATGAAATTAATTATAAGAAATAAAAACATGAAAGAAGAATAATAATAATAAATAAAATAATAATTGGATTCGCGCATTCGAACTTTTAATATAAGATGATTAGGTTTGTTCACTAGCTATAGCTATGCTACTAACTGAGTCCGCACAATACCAAATAAAGCATAAGGTATAAACTGGTTGTAGTTAAAGACTCTTTATATTGACTTAATTGTTCGGTCATTTTCTGAACATAAACACAACGCATCATTTGATTGATTTTCAGTGTTTATTCCGATTTGTAAAGTAATTATTCACGCCGATTTAATAATTTAGATGTAACTTCATAGTTACTAAGTGCATCTGCATTATTAGGATCAATTTCTAATAATTTATTTAAATCAGTGATCGATTTGTTATATTGACCCAGTAGTCTGTATACAATTCCACGAGTTCTGAGTGCGAGCATATCATTTGGATTAATTTCCAATACTTTATTCAAATCCATAAGCGATTCTTCGTATTGGCCTAACATTTCATAAACAGATCCACGGTCGCTAAGCCTTTCTAAGTTATTTGGATCAATTTCCAATGCTTTATTGAAATCTATGATTGATTCTTCATATCGACCTAGCATTTTATAGGCAACTGCACGATTATCAAGCGCGAAAACATAATTAGGATCAATTTCCAATGCTTTATTTAAATCTTCAAGCGATTCTTTATATTGGCCTAACATTATATAAGTAATTGCACGGTTGCTAAGAGCATCTACAATATTTGAATCCATGAGTGATTTTTCATTTTGATCTATCTGTAAATAAATTATTGCTCGGTTTCCGAGTAAATCCGCATTATTAACTTCTAACGATTTATTAAGATCAGTAATCGATTCTTCATATTTACTTAACATTCTATATAGAATTCCACGAATTCTAAATGCTAACGCATAATTTGGATCAATTTCCAATGCTTTATTCAAATCTGTGAGTGATTCTTCATACCGTTCTAGCAATACATAAGTAATTCCACGGTTACAAAGTACGTCCACATTATTAGGATCAATTTCTAATGACAGATTTAAATCTGCAAGTGATTCTTCAAATAGATTTAATGTCCTATAAATAATTCCACGGTTATTAAGTGTTTTAGCATCATTTGGATGAATTTCTAATGAATTATTCAAATCTATTAGTGATTCTTCATATCGACCCAGTATATTATAAACAGCTCCGCGGTCATTAAGTGCAATTGCATTATTTGGATCTATTTCTAATAGTCTATTCAATTCTTTAAGTGATTCTTCGTATTGGTTCGCGCCAAAATGTGTTGTTGCCCTTATTAAATATGGCATCAAACTTTTCATTTCTATATTTGATATTAATTTAAACAATTCATTAAGAAACAATATTAATACTTAGCAGAAAATAGGGTAATAATTACCATTGTATTGGTTTTTGTGCTTTGACTCCAAAGGAATATCTGAATGCGACGTGTGGTCTAATGGAATTTATATAAATGCGTTTTAAGTAATAATAAAAATATTCAATGAAGCATTTGTAATATATAGTATTAATGAATTTACCATCATAATAATTCTCAAGTTGTAAGCGATTTGTTGAAGCTTTAGAAACAATACAAAGAATTTAAATAAGATAATAATTTAGAACTTAATAAAGCATATAACAGTACTTACTTTTTTGTATTTTCAAATTATCACTAATTTCTACATGTGGTATTACCAATAAATCGTCGTCACTTTGAAAATTCTTGTTACTATCTATATATAAATTATTTGTAAATAGAATAATTTAAGTAATTCATAAATTATTTATATATATTTACCATTAGAATTTTTTTTCTCATGCAGATCATTGTCAACTTTATTTTTGTATTTTATATCTATATAAGATAATAAAGTAATTAAATATATATTTACCAATTTATTTTTATTTATGTTTATTAACATCATCTATGAAATTATTAGTAAAAATTGCATTAAATAAATAAAAGCTAATGATTTACCTGAGTTTAGCTCATTTCTAAAATCAAGATTTACACTTTTATGATTATTAAACGAATTAGTTTGTGAAAAAGAGGGGTTAAATTCTAAATCTGGTAATAAATTCTCTTCATCATTAATTCGTTCAAGCATTTTATTAAAATAATTATATAACTCTTGTGCATCTGGTCGATGTAAAGGGTTAGCATTCCAACATCTTTTCATCATACGTTCGTAGTCAGCAGGGATTCCAGTGATAATTTGTGGGCGAAGACCTTCAAAAATGTTTCTTAAAAGACCAATATTATGTTCACAATGATCAAATGGATTACGTCTAGCGACAAGTTGCCACATAATTATTCCTATGCTATATATATCTGATGCTGTTGTATACCTTTTAT